TTGGCCACACGTGCACTCACTCACTCTCTGGAAGCTCAGTTCTCTCCTCTTCCCTCATCCCCCAACCAACTCACTTGAGCTCCTAACAAGACCTTTGAGTTGTCAGTCTCCCTGCAAATAATCTTATGTTGCTTAGAAACAGTAATATAAGAATCTTATAATGATATAGTTCTGTTTATTGCATTCCTCCTCTTTGTCATTATATTTTTACATATTATATGAGCCCCACAATAATAATTTTAAATAGTCAATAGTCTTAATTACATTTAAGTCCTCACTTAATGGGTATGCATGTGTGGATGTATATTTAAAGAATGTTTTGGCCGGCGCCGCGGCTCACTAGGCTAATCCTCCGCCTAGCGGCGCCGGCACACCGGGTTCTAGTCCCGGTCGGGGCGCCGGATTCTGTCCCAGTTGCCACTCTTCCAGGCCAGCTCTCTGCTGTGGCCAGGGAGTGCAGTGGAGGATGGCCCAGGTGCTTGGGCCCTGCACCCCATGGGAGACCAGGAGAAGCACCTGGCTCCTGCCATCGGATCAGCACGGTGCGCTGGCCGCAGCACGCCGGCCGCGGCGGCCATTGGAGGGTGAACCAACGGCAAAGGAAGACCTTTCTCTCTGTCTCTCTCACTGTCCACTCTGCCTGTCAAAAAATTAAAAAAAATAAAAAAAAGAATGTTTATATTTTCCCAGATAACTTTTTTTGATTTTCATCCTTTCCCAAACAAACCCAGTGGTCCATCTTGTATAATTTGCCCTTGAATATTTTAGTGTTGCTTGTAGTGCTACTCTATTGTAGATATAATCTCTCAGAGTTTTTCTGGAAATGTCTTAATTTGCCTTTGTTTTTGGAATACATTTGTGTGAAGGAATTTTAATTTTTTTAAAAACTTTTATTTAGTAAATATAATTTCCAAAGTACAGTTTATGGATTACAATGGCTTTTTTCCCCCATAACTTCCCTCCCACCCGCAACCCTCCCATCTCCCGCTCCCTCTCCCATTCCATTCACATCAAGATTCATTTTCAATTATCTTTATATACAGAAGATCGATTTAGTATGTATTAAGTAAAGATTTCATCAGTTTGCACCACACAGAACATGAAGTGTAAAATACTGTTTCAGTACTAGTTATACCATTAATTCACAATGTAAGCACATTAAGGACAGAGATCCCACATGAGGAGTAAGTACACAGTGACTCCTGTTGTTGACTTAACAAATTGACACTGTTGTTTATGGCGTCAGAAATCTCCCTAGGTTCTAGTCATGAGTTTCCAAGGCTATGGAAGCCTCTTAAGTTCGCTGACTTCTATCTTATTTAGACAAGGTCATAGTCAAAGTGGAAGTTCTCTCCTCCCTTTTTGTCTTCTGGCTTTATATTAGTCATTCTCCTATATGTTGTATTTCTATTTTTCTCTGGCTGCATTTAAAATTTATTCTTTATATTACTAGTTTATCATGTAGTACTTGCAGATTTCTTGGTTTTTAATCCTTTTGTTTTCTGAATTTCTTACAACTGCTTTGTTACAAAATACTTTTTTCACAACTTGGGAGAAAATTTAACATTACGTTTTCAAATATTTTTACTGTGTCTGTCTTTTTTGAAGGCATCATTAACATGTATATTAAGAGTATTTGATAATATTCCACACATGTTAAGTATTTGATAATATTCCAACATCTGTTCTTTTATACCCATTTTTTCCTGTTAGTCGTTCAATTTGGGTACTTTTACTCAAATGGTCTTTATGTTGGCTGGCCCTTTGTTCTATTTCCTGTCTGATAATTGAAACTTCTGAACTATTTCTAGTTTTTCCTGTTTTTCTTCTTATGATCACAACTCAATTTACTACTAATTTTGTGCCTCATAATTATTGAAAATTGAATCCTGAATATTTTTTTATGAATGCAGTGATGGAGATAAATATTTACCCTTAGGAAAGAGCATACCCCTTGTACTGGTCAGCTTTATGTTACAACGGTGAAATAAATACCTTAGAGAAGAGAAGCTAACTTTATTATGAGAACAGGTTTACTTTGGCTCATGGTTTTGGAGATTCACAGTCCAAGCTCAGGGAGGCCTCACTGACTTGGCCTCTGGTGAAGGTGTTCTTGATGGCAGAGTCCCAACATGACTCAGAGTATCAAATGGCAAGGAGCACCAGAGTGTCTGTGTCTCTCCTTAGAAAACCACCATGATTCAGCCCAGAGAGTTCTACCCTAAGGATTCAATCCAATCCCGTCACTTTCCAAAAGCCGAATCTTCAAACACCATACTTGGGTGAAGTTTCCATCTTCTTAGTACCATTCACTTAAGACTTTGGACAATATGCCATTACTGTTTTGCCTTTGGGAAACATCCAACAGCCAATTAATACCCAAATGCTAGCACCCCTGTTCTGTCAGCTGTTAGACTTAGGGCCGAAACAATCTCACGAGTGGTTGAGCTGGGTCTGTGCTTCCCTGCAGCTTTGTGGATTCTGTGCCCCACTGGCTTCAGATAATTTGGCATGTGGGATTAGGCCTAACTCAGCAGAAAAACCAGAGTTCCCAGCTTTGGCAACCTTCTGGGAAGATCTTTGTGTCTTTGGCTTTTCAGACTGTAGGAGGTTTTCCTCCTACAGGATTTCCAATCCTGCTGGAGGGAGGGTCCCTAGGGAGCTTTCTTTACTCAGCACTCTGCCCCTGTCTTTCTGAGCATGGTGAAATCTCTCTCCAATCTGCCCCTCTGCACTCATCCTGGGGAGGGCAGCTGCCTTACTATATAACAAGGCCTGTAACCTAGATGGATTTCTCTCAGCTTTCAGACCTGCTTTGATCTTTGATAGTTCTGTTGCTGAGCACAATGTCATGTCTTATAGCAAGAAGGCAGAAAGACTTCTACTGTGGCTGGTGTTCCTTGGAATTCTGATCGATTAAACCGGCCCCCACACATCCATTTAAAGTACATTGAGTTTGCTGTTGATTTCTCCTTGCTTTTCTTTATGAGGATTTATTTTTTGCTCCATTCTCATAATGGAAAGTATGAGGAGAGAAAATTTCATGTCTTCTAGAACTAAGCTGTCACTGCTGAGGTTTAATTCATTGAGATTCTTGCATTCTCAGCAATCTAATAAAAACGAAGACAAAAAAGGTGATTTTATGACTTATCCAGGTAGTTTTGATTGTCAGCGTGAGAATGGTTTTCACTCCTGTCACTTTCTCCACATTAACCAAGAGGAGAACAGAGAAGGGTATTCCTTAATTTTTAAGAATGAGTTATAAATCCTAGCAGTAGGGCAGGCACTGAGGCACAGAGGGTTAAATCACTGCCTGATACCTGCAACCCATATCAGAATCCTGGTCTGGCTCCCAGCTCTTCTGCTTCTTACCCACCTTCCTATAATGCTCCTTGTAAGGAAGTAGGCAATGGCACATGTACTTTGATCCCTGCCTCCCATGTGGAGATCCAGATGGAGTTGAGGCTCCTGGCTTCAGCCTAGCCCTCCTTAATGCCTGCTGTTGGGATCATTTGTGGCGTGAAGAAGCAGATGAATATTCTTTCTTTGTTACTCTGCTTTTCTTTTTCTTTCTTTGTTTTTTCTTTTCTTTTCTTTTCTTTTTTTTTTTCAGGCAGAGTTAGACAATGAGAGAGAGAGACAGAGAGAAAGGTCTTCCTTTTCCATTGGTTCACCCTCCAGTGGCTGCTGTGGCTGGCGCTTCGCCGATCAGAAGCCAGGTGCTTCCTCCTGGTTTCCCATGCGGGTGCAGGGCCCAAGCACTTAGGCCATCCTCCACTGCCTTCTGGGGCCACAGCAGAAAGCTGGACTGGAAGAAGAACAACAGGGACAGAACCCGGCATCCCAACCGGGACTAGAACCTAGGGTACTGGCGCCACAGGCAGAGCATTAGCATAGTGAGCCACAGCGCCGGGCCACTCTGCTTTTCAAGTAAACAAATAATTTTTTTTTTTTTTAATGCTCAGCAGTACTTCTATGTTCTGAAGGGCTTATCAGCTTCCAATTTTGCTTTAGGACTGGGTCAATCCTAAATTCATGCCATAGATTTTTTTTTTTTCTAGGAAGCAGTACATGGGTCAGCATGCTTGTGTTCCCAAAGATTTTATTTAAATGACCCTCCTATTTTGTTTCCTGTGTTGGAAGTAAGTACTTGGTTGCCAGTTATTCTGTTTGTAGCACTTGGAAAGAAGTTTAGCAGTGGAGTCAACTGATCTATATGAATATAAAAGCTCAAAAAATCACCTGATTTTCAACTGCGCATCTCACTCATATGCATTGTACCTGACTTTTCAAGGGCTCTGTGTAGCAGATTGTAATATCTTCCTTGATATATTGAAGTGATATGTCTTTTGGGTTCTGCTTTCTCAACCCTGGTTAACTATTATAAAACCTATCAACTTGCTTTTTGACTTCTAGAAATTTGTAGAAAGTTCTCTTGTTTTGTAATAGAAGATTATATCAGGAGCCGCCAGCTTTGGCTCACAGTGGGTAAAGCTGCTACTTGCGATGCCAGCACCCAGTATGGGCTCAGGTTCATGTCCTGGCTGGTCCATTTCCAATCCAGCTCCGTTCTAATGGTTTGGGAAATGCAGTGGAAGATGTCTTAAGTGCTTGGGTTCCTACTACCCTCACGGGATACCCAGAGGAAGCTCCTGGATCTTTTGGCCTGGCTCAGTGCTGACTGTTGTGATCATCTTGGGAGTGAACCAGCAGATGGAATATCTGTCTCTCTGTCTCTCCCTTTCTCTGTCTGTAACTCTGACTCTCAAATAAATGAATAAATCTTTAATAAAAAGATTATATCAGGATATGATGATGACCCCAGACAATTTGTGGAAAAAAGGAAAGGAAAAACAATGTGAATTTCCCATGAACTTTTTGAAGGCTCTTTATGTTTGCTAAATACTTGAAGAGGTATAACTGACCCATATGCATTTCACCTTTTGTTAACCTTATCACTACCTTGTTTCATTCATCTCAATGTTCTTTTTATTTTGAAGTTTGCTGAAGATTCTTTAAGAATCATCCAAGGTGCCACACTGCAAAAATGGTTCAGCTGACAGCCACCCCTCTAAGTGCACTTGTTGATGAGCCAGTGCATATCCGAGCCACAGGCCTGACTCCTCTTCAGTTGGTGGTCTTTCATGCATCCTTGGAAGATGAAGTGGGGAATCTCTTTTATTCACGGGCCTTCTACAGGGCCAATGAAGTTGGTGAGATAGACTTAGATCATGCTGCTGCACTTGGAGGTGACTATAAGGGAGTGCACCCCATGGGACTCTTCTGGTCACTCAAGCCTCAAAAACTAGTAACAAGACTGCTGAAAAGAGATGTGATGACTAGCCCCTTCCGGGTCCAGATAAAACTCTATGACAGACATTTACCAATAGAAACCAAAACCAGCGAAGCACCAAAGGCCAGCGTGACTTTGGAAAGGTGGTATGTGGCACCGGGTGTCACACGAATCCCGGTCCGAGAAGGCCGTCTTCGGGGAACCCTCTTTGTGCCTTCAGGTGAGTAGAATTATTCTGGTTATTGATACCCCAGTATTCCCTCTTTTGAATGACTTAATATCTCGGGAAATTTAGCTTGAATATGTACAGTACGCAGGGCACTCCTTTAACACCTTAGAATCAAGGTTGACAGGGTTGGAACCAGAGTGTGTTCATATTCCATTCCAACTCTAGTTTCATCTCAACAATTCTGGAGCTTGTCTAAGGATATGAATGTCTATAGTTTATAGAATCCCTTTGTTGTAGATGTCTATAGCTTTGGACTTACGTTACATTTGTCTGCATTGAAGACTGGCTATCTGAAGACTCTGGATTTGCTATCCTGAAAACCCTGCGCCAGCTCCCTTTAGGGATCTGTCATGTTGAGTTCCTGTTTACAACATTAACACAACAAGCTGGTAATATGTTGGACTGAAAGACTGCAGGAAGCAAGCAAACCAAAAAACCAGAGAATTGAAAGAAACTTTATACTGCTTCAGTTTCATAAATATTGCATGTTAATAGAATGTTCCATAAGTCAGGTAATTCAGCATGCTTCCTAATGGTTTTAAGACACTCAGTTTCTGGCAGTGATATCTGCATTCCAGCACATGGTTTCTCCAGGTTATTGGAGGACTGAATAAAGCAAGGTTAATTTACCAAAAGACCTCACAGGACAGGTTTCAGGCCTATTTGAGCTCTTCTTCATCAGATATGTGCTTTGTTGCGGGACACAGCTATAACCTCATCAGGATATATCAACTTTATGGTTTTCTTTTAAATCTAACAGTCTATTTGTACAACAGAGATGGACTGAGTCTACTTGAAGTATTATAGGTCGTTTCTCACAACATAGAGATGGTGTAAAAGGAATGCAAGCTTTCCCTTCCAAATTTACTGTAGCTCATGAACTTGTGTGGATAAATTTGAATTTTATGTACACCCAGTGATTAGCATATAGACCACTTACTAGTGTGTAGGGACCAGGAAGTTGCATAAGCTGCTGTGCCTTCATTATCCCATCCCTATTAAAAATCTATATCTTGGTGCAGACCTTCCATTTTATAATGATGTGTTGTTTCAGGGTGTATTACTTGAGAACCCCCTTAAACATTGCATGTGCTAGGTCTCTTGATTAAAGTGTTTGTTCTGTGGGGACAGAAAGGTCGGTTGAATTATTGGGGTCATAAAGAGGTTATGTCAGATCTCAAAACATTTCTCATTTGCAGCATTCTTGCAAAAGGAATCCGTATTCTTCAAGTGGTCCTCCTATTCCTGACAATCAGAGGAGGATGTAAAAGAGTCCTTGCTCATTTATTCAAATGATATCTTTTTTAAGGTTTATTTATTTATTTGAAAGGCAGAGAAGCAAAGGCAGAGGGCGAGAGAGAAATCTTCCATTTGCTGGTTCACTCCTCAAGTGACCACAATGGCTGGAGCTGTGCTGATCTGAATCCAGAATCTTGGAACGTTTTCTGGCTCTCCCATGTGGGTACAGGGGCTCAAGGACTTGGGCCATATTTTGCTGCTTTTCCAGGCCATAGCAGAGAGCTGGATTGGAAGTGTAGTCGCTGGGACTAGAACCAGCACCCGTATTGTGTGCCAGCACTGCAGGCTGCAGCTATACCCTCTATGCCACAGCACCAGCCCATTCAATTGATATTTTTATACCAGGATATGCTTAGTGTTATTTTATTTCTTTTTTTTTTCAGTGTAAAAAAAACCAATATTCTTTTAAATCAATACTTCTTTCAAATATGACTTGGTCCTTTCTTCGTTAGCTGAAATCACTTATACAAGAATAAAATTTAAAACAGTACTCCCAATAAGCGTTATTGCAAATTTCATTCAGTCTATAGCATCTACTGTATTTTAGAAACAATATTTTAGAAACAATTTTAGAAACAAGCTGCCTACCTAAGGCATGGATGCAGCCTATTATTTTACCATTGCTCTGTAATGAATGAGCAGACTGTTACTGAATGAAAGGATTTAGCAGGTACAGCTGCACAGGTGCGAGACTTATCCCTTTAAAAGTGTAGTGAGATGAGTGTAACAGAGTGTTGTTAACTCAGGACTTTAGTCAGCATGCACTCTAAACCTAGTTGAATCTGTAGACCTTCTCATCAGTAAAATGCATGTATCCACATATACTATGTTTTACTTGAGCACCTCCATTTGTTTCCTGAAAGCTATATTTGTACTCCTTTATAACTTAAGAAGCCATGGCCCTCTGTCTATGGCTTTCTTTATCCCGAGACTTTCAAACTGAAACCCGTTCTTCTTGGCAGCAGGGATTAAACGTGTGCAGTGAACATTGTTCCCAATCAGACTGTTAGATATTGTGGTCCACTGTATATTCAATATGTCCAATTCTTTCCCAGATAAAAGGCAGAAAAGTTGGGGATTCTGTTTGAAAATGTTTACATTACTTCCAAACTCAGAGGTGCACTTCTGCTTTGTGTTCCCCTATTTTCATTATCTTTTCCTGCTCTTCCCTTCATGCACTATTCTGTTTTGTCCTCTTTCACAGGAGAGGGCCGTTTCCCAGGAGTGATTGACATGTATGGCGCTAGCGGTGGGCTGCTTGAGTTCCGAGCCAGTCTCCTGGCCAGTCGTGGATTTGCCTCCTTGGCTTTGGCTCACTGTGGCTTTGAAGACCTGCCACCCCAGCCAGACAAAGTAGACTTGGAGTATTTTGAGGAAGCTGCCAACTTCCTCCTGAAGCATCCTAAGGTAATATTTACTTTTCAGTAGGTTTCAGTCCCCCTGTTAAAGTAACTACCATAGTCTGTGATTTGCTTTACCTTCCAAGTGTGATTCTCCCTCAAGGAACTTGAGATTCTGTTACATACCCAAATCATTCTCATGACTTTTTTCTCATCCCATGTCCTGTGCCCAGAAAGATGCAAGGCTGGTCTGTCATTATATCAAAAAGCCTTGGCTTTGAATTGAGAAACCCTTTGAAATAGGTTGTGTTTCTGGCTCCATCCCATCTGCCTGAGGGAATTTTGGACAGGTTAGACCTTCTCTCCTGCATTTCTTCCTGTTATATAATGGTGTACTGATAACACTTCATGATGTTATTGTGAGAATTGAAGGGGATAATACATGTAAAGTATGTATCACAATACCAGGCAAGTCCCAGTACTCAAGAAAGTTTAATTAATATTATTATTATATTGATTTATCATGGTGCTTAACCAATCTGTATTTACTTGAAGATTGTGTCTGAATCCATGTCTTCCAAATAGGTGAGAGAGACCCAAGTACTTAAACCATCATAGCTGCTTCGCAGAGTCTGTGTTAGCAGGAAGGTGGAATTAGGAATGGATTCAAATCCAGGTACTCCATTATAGGATGTGGGCATCCCAAGTGATGTCTTAATCACTAGTTCCATTGCCCACCCCCAAATGACTGGGTTTTTTTTCTTTTTTTTAAAGAGTTATATATTTATTTGAAAGGCAGAGTTACAGAGAGGCAGAGGTGGAGGCTGAGAGGTCTTCCATCCGCTGGTTCACTCCCCAGATGATCACAATGGCTGGGGCTGTGCTGATCCAAAGCCAGGAGCCAGGAGCTTCTCTCAGGTCTCCCACATGGGTGCAGGGTGCCAAGGACTTGGGCCATCTTCTACTGCTTTCCCAGGCCATAGCATAGAGCTGGATCGAAAATGGAGCAGCTTGTATTTGAACTGGCACTCTTATGGAATGCCAGCCCAGCCAGTGGAAGCTTTACCTGCTACACCACAGTGTTGGCCCCCAAATGACTTTTTGATGTGTGTAATGAAATTGTTCTTTTTTTTTAAAATAGAGAGATTTATTTATTGAAAAGCAGGGTTAGAGAGGGAGAAACAGAGGGAGGGAGGGAGGGAGGGAGGGAGAGAGGGAGAAATTTTGCATCCACTGGTTCACTCCCGAATTGATCGCAAAGACCAGAGCTGGGCCAGTCTGAAACTAGAAGCCAGGAGCTTCTTCTAAGTCTCCCACATGGGTACAAGGGCCCAAGGACTTGGGCCATCTTCTGCTGCATTACCAGGCACATTAGCAGGGAGCTGGATTGGAAGTGGAGCAGCTGGGACTCGATCCGGCAGCATCACAAGTGGTGGCTTTTTCTGCTATACAACAGTGCCAGCTCCAATGAAATTGTCATTGACCTATCACATAGGCAATGTCATCGTGCTAATCTGCTTTGCTTGTGGGAGACATGCAGAGGTTATGTGATTCTGCTTTTTTACTTTATTAGCCTGTTCCCTTAATACTTGTGGCATAACTTTTCCACAGCTGTTCTTGCCAGTGTAATATAGACAACTTAATGACGAATCCAGGGCTGGAAACCACATTTCTTTCCTGCCTCAGAGTAATTCCAGTAATCCTGTTTCATATTGTCTCTTCTGCTAGATAATAGATCATAGATATTTCAGTTCCTTGTAGGTCTTATTTCTCTACCTGTTGATTTTGTATGATTTCTGTGGACTCAAAATTGATGCCAAATTTGATAGCATAAATGTTTTTAATAAGAATTACTATTCTGCCAAAGACGACAAGCAAATTAGATAAAGACTGTACATATTTTAGTCACCTGTTTTGTACATCCCTGTTGTACTAGCCTTTGCTTCATTGTCCATGGCCAAATCCATTCTGAATTTTTATCTTTCCTTGCCATAATGGTGAACCTATACTTTTCATATTGAGACATACAATTCCGTGGGGTAGGTGTTTGGCACAATGATTATGATGACACTTGGGGTACCCATATTCCATATCAGAGTGACTGGGTTCAGATCCCGGCTCTGCCTCTGATTCTAGCTTCCAGCTAAGGTTTGCCCTAGGAGGCAGTGGATAATGGCCAAGTAGTTGAGTCTCTGCCACCCATGTTGAGTTCCCCAGTGTCCTGGCTTCAACCTGGCATTCCTTGGCTGTTGCAGGCATCTGGGAAGTGAACCATTCTGTGTATGTGTGTTTTTCTTTCAAATGAGGGGAAAAAAGGAATTTTGATCTGGAAAGAAAAGGATGTGGAAAGGGAACTGTGTTCAGGGGTACAAAGTTGTAATAAAACAGGACAAATAAATCGTGATGATTAGTTTGCACAGTGTGGTGACTATAGTTAATAATAGTGTATATTTCAAACTTCCTGAAAGTAAATCTGAAATCTATTGCAAAAAGTGATGTTTGCAGATGATAAATATATTCATTATAAGCCATACTTGCCCCTTCTACAATGTATAAATATATACATTTATCAAAGCATCACATTAAACTTCACAAATATGAAAGATCTTCAAAAATTTCATAGAAAATGTGTATCATAAAAAAACTGTTCATGGGTTTCAAAGTGTTTTTGCACCAAAATAAACATCTTTTAATTCCATTTTCATGAGATTTTTCAAGTACTCTTTCTTTCTTTTTTTTTTTTTGCTTTTAAGATTTTGACAGGCAGAGTGGACAGTGAGAGAGAGAGAGACAGAGAGAAAGGTCTTCCTTTGCCGTTGGTTCACCCTGCAATGGCCGCCACGGCTGGCGCGCTGCAGCCGGCGCACCATGCTGATCTGATGGCAGGAACCAGGTGCTTCTCCTGGTCTCCCATGGGGTGCAGGGCCCAAGTACTTGGGCCATCCTCCACTGCAGTCCTGGGCCACAGCAGAGAGCTGGCCTGGAAGAGGGGCAATCAGGACAGAATCCGATGCCCCGACTGGGACTAGAACCCGGTGTGCCGGCGCCGCAAGGCGGAGGATTAGCCTAGTGAGCCGCGGCGCCGGCCCTCAGGTACTCTTTCAAAAGTAATTGTCAGTTAAAAATGAGAACTAAATAATTTTTTTAAAAGATTTATTTTTTACTTGAGAGTCATGGTTACACAGAGACAGGAAAGGCAGAGAAAGGGAGAGAGGGAGAGGTCTTCCATCCGATGGGTCACTCCCCAGACAGCCACAACGGCCGGAGCTGCGCCAATCCGAAATCAGGACCGAGGAGTTTTTTCCAGGTCTCCCACATGGGTGCAGGAGACCAAGGATTTGGGCCATTTTCTACTGCTATCCCAGGCCGTAGCAGAGAGCTAGATCAGGGTGGAACAGCTGAGACTAGAACTGGTGCCAATATGGGATGCCAGCACTTCACGCCAGAGCGTTAACCTGCTGCGCCACAGCGCCGGCCCCCTAAATATTTGTTTTGTCTAAGCTTAAAAAACCTTTTAATTAATTCAAGTCATACCTTGAATATGCCAGGTAGGAAACAGAGTTTATACAATTCTGTTTGTTGTTTTTTCCCTTTTATCCTAATAATTCTCACATTTCTGTCAGCTGGACACAAACGGCACATTCATTCATGTTTTTCTAAACTGTAGGAAAAACTCCAGAACATTCGTTAATAAATGCCTTAAAATGTAGGAAATCAACTGAGAAAAATATGAGAGATCAATTAAGGTTTTGGAAAAGACATGTGTGTCAATGAAACTGTCCTTGCAAGGAGCTAGTGTTCAAAGAGAACCAAGACTGTATTTTGTGTCACAAAGAATTGCTATGTTTTGCTCTCATTAATAATTGACAGTGGGGCTGGCATTGTGGTGCAGTGGATTAAGCTGCTGCCTGCAATGCTTGGTCCCATATGAGTGCCAATTCCAGTCCTGACTGCTGCACTTCCTTTCCAGCTCCCTGCTAATGTCACTGGGAGAGCAGTAGAAGATGGCCCATGTATTTGGGACCCTGTCATCCATGTGGGAGAACCAGATGGAGTTTCAGGCTTCTGGTTTTGCCCTGGCCCAGCCCCAGTCATTGTGGCCATTTGGATAGGGAACCAGTGGATGGAAGATTGCTCTCTGTCTCTGTAACTCTGCATTTCAAATAAAATAAAAATAAATAATATATTGTTTCCTTTTAATCTCTACTGATGTTGCCTTAGTTCAGGACACCGCCATTTCTTGCCTATAATAATATAATCAGCTCTGGCTTTTCTGCCTTGATTTTTGTAGGTCACCATTGTAAGTCTGGATTTTTTAGAGCACATCTATTTTACTCACTTCCTCAAGAGTCTCCCACTTACTACAGGATTAAAAAAAGCCAGGCTTCCTAGTTGTTAGATAAAGTTTTCATGATTTCACTTCTGCATACTTCAGCTTTATCTTGTGCTCATCCTTAAAATCTGTCTTCATTATCCTTTTCAGTTAGGAAAAGTCAAGATTGCTTATCATATCTTTCAGAGTTATTCACTATCATGTCCAACCCTACTTTGCTATTACTCATATTCTACTCCAAATTCAAGTAATAAAGAATGACCTGTCGTTCCCTAAATGCATTGCTCTTTGTTGCCATTTGCTTGTATTCTGGCATGGTGATGACATTTTTCAGAAAAGAGGCTGTAATGGTTCACACAATAACAACACAAGGCAATTTATTGGCTCATGTACCAGATAGAAATGGTGGTTCATGTTCCTCCTCCCTCCCCTAATCCAGTCAAGGACACTGGATTGGTATTTCTGCAATTTTCTGACCTTACCCTCAAGTCACAAGACAACTAGGAGTTCGGCACCGCGGCTCACTAGGCTAATGCTCTGCCTGCGGTGCCAGTACCCCAGGTTCTAGTCCGGTTGGGGCGCCAGATTCTATCTTGGTTGCTCCTTTCCAGTCCAGCTCTCTGCTGTGGCCTGGGAAGGCAGTGGAGGATGACCCAAGTCCTTGGACTTTGCACCCGCATGGGAGACTAGGAGGAAGTACCTGGCTTCAGATCGGTGCAGTGTGCCAGCCGTGGTGGCCATTTTGGGGGGTGAACCAATGTAAGGAAGACCTTTCTCTCTGTCTCTCTCACTGTCTAACTCTGCCTGTCAAAAAAAAAAAAAAAAGAAAGAAAGAAAGAAAACTAGGAGTTCCAGACATAAAGTCAACATGCCAGCATCCTAAACGGGAAAGAATGATTAGGAGAACAGGCTTTCTTTTCTTGATTCTAATTTTACATGGAATAAAAAGCAAGTCCCTTGGCAGAATATGTTGGACTTACAAGAGAGGCTGAAATGGTATGTAACAAAGGGGAAGAGATTCAGACCCATCATAATCTACCACTGTGGCTGGAGACAATGTTGTGACATACAAAATCAAGATCATGTTAGCCTAGAAGTTGTGGAGAATGGCTCTTGTGTAGGAAATTAAAAGTGTCTTTATACTCAGTATAGAAAACCATTCATTCTAATTGCATCCCAGTTTTTTTTATTTGAAGACACAATTTATAACCCATTTCTTCTGATAATATTTCTTGGGCCCTATATTTTTTCACCTTAAATCTGTTTTGACAGCACTGACTATGTACATTCTTGTATCACAGAATTTATGATACTCTAATCATTTTTTCCCTCCTGTCTCCATCTGGAAGTGAGTTTTTGATGACAAGAGATTATGTCTTTCTGCTCTGTGTTTCCCGGGGCTTGGCACAGCGTGGATATCCAAAAGTGCTTATTTGATGACTGACAATGAAAGAGGAAGTAGAGCCAAAGCTCCTTATGAAATCAGGACAAATCTATAATAATCTGTTAAAATTTCCATATTCTCTCCTTCTATCTCACCTTGTTTTCTCAGTCTCTTCTTGCAGGGGTACTTTCTCCTCTGAGCTTCCAGAGAGCTCAGAATGTGTACAGCAAGATGTACCAATTAATTATACCTCAACTTGTATTCTTTACAATAGTAATTTTATCTTATTTTCCCTATATTTATGTTTAGTTAGGACATTTAAACTCAGAACTCAACAAATGCTGAATACATAGTATTCAGTCAATAACGCCTGATACCTTTTTGAAGGAGTATTTCCTTTCATTAGACATTATATGTTTCAGAATTTTAGAGCTGGGATGTATAAGGATATGAGTAGGAATTTTACTTGCTTTCTTTCAGTTGGTCATTGAAATTTTTTTGCTTGTTTGAGATTGTGGAATTCCTCTGAATAAAAATAGAATAACATCTCATTTCTATTTTTTTTCACAGGTCCTTGGCCCAGGCATTGGGATAGTCTCTGTGTGCAGAGGAGCAGAGATTGGACTCTCCATGGCTATTCATCTAAAGCAAGTCACAGCCACTGTACTTATCAATGGGCCCAACTTTATTTTTAGTATTCCACATATATATCGTGGTCAGATCCTTAAGCCCAGACCCCACTCTGTACAATCAATATCCATCAATGCCTTAGGTTTTGTAGAGTTTTATAGTATTTTCGATGAAAGTGGGCCTGAGACTAGTCAGTCTTGTCTTCCCATCGAAAAGGCCAGGGGACCTTTCCTCTTTATTGTAGGAGAAGATGATAAGAATGTCAATGGCAAAGTATTTGCTAAGCAAGCTACAGAACAGCTGAAGAGACATGGGAAAAACAACTGGACCCTGCTGTCCTACCCTGGGGCAGGCCACATGATAGAGCCTCCCTATTCCCCACTGTGCTGTGTCTCAGGGATTGCCAATGTATGTTCAGCTATACACTGGGGAGGAGAGGTGGTCCCACATGCAGCTGCACAGGAACATTCTTGGAAGGAGATCCAGAAATTTCTCAGGAAGCACCTCACGCCAGTGATACCCAGTCAAATCTGAGAAGAGAAGGTTTTCAGGGATACATGTATAAATCTCCTTATTAGAAACTTCTCTCAATTTTAACAGAGGAATGTCTTTTATCTGTTATTGTAAGAAGGAAGACAAAAGGAATGGGCATAGAAATGTCCTGAATTTTGGAAGGGAAATATGTTTTCACCTCACCAAGCATCAGACACTGAGTCATACAGTTGTAGCTATGAACCTGGAGCTCTAGCAGCCCTAAAATATCATAAAGCAATTCTCAATCATAGTGATTCTCAATCATAGTGATTCTCAATCATAGCAATTCTCAATCATAGTAATTCTCAATGATAGCAGTTCTCAAGGGGAAACAGTGAATCACAGAATTTTCTGGGTTATACAATGGACATGAAGAGAATCAGATACTGACATTTGTCGTTTTCCTAAAACTCAGATATACGTAGACCTCTCATCTCTCTTTGAAATTATGCTTGCAGCTCATGATTACCTCATTGTTCTTGGAAAACTAGAACTGCATTGCCAGTATTTTAGGGCAATATGAAAGCTTTACAGATGTAAGATCGCTGAATCAGCCTACAAACAATAATTCAGCAGGAGCCATGTGTGTGTGTCTAAACATGTCCATTTTGGCACTTCCAGCAATGAGCATGGAGCAATCTGAGAAGCACACGATTGCAGTTTGGGAAGCAGCCACGATAATGTGAATGGTGTCCTTCTAGGATAGAGGCTTGCACACTTTTTCTATTAAGGACTAGGTAGTAAATATTTTTGACTTCACAGTCTACAAGGTTCCTTTCACTAAATTTTATTTATGGACACCAAAATGTACATTTCATATAATGTTTACATGTCACAATATTGTAATTTTGTTTTTATTTTTTTCTCTAAGCATTTCCAAATATAGAAGCTATTCCTAGCCCACTGGCAGCACAACAATAGACTCCAATTTCTGTTTGGCTCTCAGTTGCATAATCTGATAGACCTGAGTATCCAGCAATTTAAAAGACCTTGTCCAAGGTCAAATTTGAAGTGTCTTTTCTAATGGGCAAGTCATAGCCCAAATATTCCTGAACTATTGAATCGCAGTCAGTGGATAATCAAGGTGAAGATGAACCAGTAGACATGTATTTTAAATCATTTGTAGACAGGATCAGAAGCCAGTGAGGATTTAGAGTAGTGGAAGTAACAGAAGGACTCTTCAGTTGCATCTGCCTAAACCCTCTCCTCTGCTTTCTGATACTCTGTCTGTTTAAAGTAGAGATATACTGTGTGGTTGAAATGGAATTAATAGCCTTCCTCCTCTCTTCTAGAACTGATCACATTTCACATACAGTCTTGGTCAATTAGAACACCTCACTAGAATGATTATGTAATTGGATGACTAATACCTCTGGTACAGTGTTATGTAATAGTTGTCATTGTGAGCATCATTTTCTTTTCTCCTTTTGTGGGCTTTAGAAAGAATGTCTCTGACTGTGAGGTGTGATGTCAGTGTGTGACCTGTTATATATCCTGCAATATATAATTTATGGAAGTTTTTTAAAACCGTGAATGTCTGAGGATTTTTCCTAGTACTCTTTTGGGATCACTAGAAATGTTTCTATCGCCTGTCTCTGAATATCTATTAAAAAGAAAAATGAGTTTTATAGTCAATAATTTTTGCATTTGTGAAATAAAAGTCATTATGATGTATTGTATTGTTAATAATAAATGAGATTGAATTGTCATTTTTTGTGTGATTTATTTTGGTAAGGTATGAATTCTAATGTTGCTCTTGTTTCATTGGAAGAATTAAGAAGTTTTTCTTCTTTCCTAAAATAGTTTACTTAGAATAGAAACTTTTCTCTTTTAAAGTCTAGTAGCACTATCCTGAATATTTTATTATTCAGAGTAAATATATTAAGGAAATCAGGATTTCATTGATATTAGTATACCTTATATATGGTACAGTAGATATTTTCTATCAAAGCCAGTGTTTTTTGGCATTTTAAAATATATCAGGAAAATTCAAAGAGTAAAAGTTACACTACAAGGGATCTTTAAAAAGTTGATAGACATGCATATTGTGAAAAAAACCACATGGATTTCATATATTTTGCACCAAAGTTAACTTTTATTTTGTTGTTATTAAAAATGTTCTTTCCTGATTTATTTGAGAGTCAGAGAGGTAGAGAGAGAGAGAGACAGAGAGTGAGAATTTCCACCTGCTGATTCCCTCCACAAATGTCTGCAGTGTCCTTGGCTGGGCCAGTCCCAAGCTGGGAGCTGAGAATTTAATCCAGTCTTCCATGTCAATGGTAGGGACCCAATTATTTTAATTACTGGAATACTCACTCCTGCTCCCCAGCATCTACATTGGAAATAAATTGAAATCAGGATCCAGAGGTGAGTATCAAACCTAAGTGAAACAATGCAGGATGTAGGCATCTCAGCCAGTGTCTTGAGAACTAAACTAAATGGCTGCCCCGTTTATCCTTTAATTCCATTTTTAAATGAAATTTTGAACTTTTCTTGTATATCAAAAGGGCTAAAAAATACTCTGCAGTTCTGGGAATTTTTTTAATGTTTCTTGGTTTAAAGTACAAATGGAAGCCCGCACTGTGGTGTAGCAGATAAAGCCACTGCCTGCAGTGCTGGCTTCCCATATAGGTGCCGATTGGAGGCCCGGTTGCTCCACTTCTGATCCAGCTCTATGTATGACCTAGGAAAACAGTGGAAGATGGCCCAAGTGCTTGGGCCACTGTACTGTGTGGGATTCCTAGAATCTCCAGGCTCCTAGCTTTGGATCGGCCCAGCTCCGGCCATTGCAGCCATCTGGGGAGTGAACCAGCAGATGGAAGACCTCTCTCTCTTTCTCTACCACTCTGTAACTCTGCCTTTCAAATAAATAAATAAATTTAAAAAATAAAATACAAATGAATTCTGTATTTTTTGTTGGTTAACATTACATGTATGAAACTTTGCAGAAGATTCTGACCTTTTTATTATGATAAAGTAGACATGAAGCAGACATTTTGAGATCGTTTTGTAACTCAAATGTAGGAAGGAATTTTTTTCTAGCTTTGTTTTGCCACCTTTAATTTGTGATTTATTTTAGGCTCATCCAAAAATATCAATAAAATCAAGAGATTGATGCAGGCCTTGAGGTAATTTTCTTGTTACCCATGTTTCTGACAAAAGTTACCAATACCATGTGGTTGCTGGTTTGTGTCCCAGCTGCTCCTGATCCAACTCCTGGCTAATGCCCCTGGGAGGGCAGCGGGAGTGGGCCAAGTGGGAAACCCAGATGAGCTCCTGGCTTCGGCTTCCAGGCGGTTGTGGCCACTTGAGGAGAGAACCAGTGGATGGAAGATCTCTGTCTCCCCTGTCTTTCAAATAAATTAATTAATCTTGTTTTTTAAACCCATGTCTGTTTACTACCAACATTTGGATTATATTGAGTTTGGCTTCTAACCTGTTTTTCTTTTATTGGAAACTGTTATACATTTCACATTTTTCAGGTATAGAGTACTTTTGAACTATGTTCTGTTCATTACTGAAGATCCTTTTAGAAACTTTAGACTCTACTGTATTCTTCAAAAAAGGACTGATTTTTCTTTTAGGCAGGAAGTTTAACCTGGCTGACTTCTGAAACTAAGTTAGTTGCCTAAGTCTTAACTTAGCTGCTAAACACAGGTGCACTAAACATATTCCAGTCCACACTTCCACAAAGATGCTTATTTGGGGCTTGCCATCAAAGGACTGTTACAGAGGAAGCTGCTTAAGAGACGATTGACTCGGGACCAGCACCGTGGCGTAGCAGGTAAAGCCGCTGCCTGTAGTGCTGGCATCCCCATATTTGTGCTTGTTTGAATCCCGGCTGCTCCACTTTTGATCCAGCTCTCTGCTATAGCCTGGGAAAGCAGTAGAAGATGGTCCAAGTCCTTGGGCCTCCACACCTGCATGGGAGACCTGAAGCTCCGGGCTCCTGATGGCCCAACTCCAGCCACTGCCACCATTTGGGGAGTGAACCAGCAGATGGAAGACCTCTCTCTCTCTCTCTCACTTTCTCTCTCACTCTCTGCCTTTGCCTCTGTACCTCTGTAACTCTGCCTTTCCAATAGATAAAAAAAATTCTGAGCATGAGAGAGAATTAACTCAGAGGATGAAATAGAAAAGGAACTTGAGTGAGGCAGAGGAAACTAAAGCCAGGAGATGAGAGGAGTCGTCGAGTGAGAAAGCTTGTGATGTCAGACTCCAGTGTGAACACCTGGGCTGAAAGATAACTGGAGGCAGATGCCTGACTCTGGCGTAGCACCTGCTGGCATGCAGGCTTGTCACTGGACTCACAAAGAGGAGCAGCTGATGGTTTCTGTGGAGACAGGTTCAACAGTATGCTAGGTGTTTTGAATTAAGTACTTGTACGTTTGCAAGCAACAGGTAAGCAAGCAATGGGTGCTCATAAATTGACATCTACGTTCTGCAGATCTGCTTTAGATTGCTTTGCCACTGAACTCACAGTGAGTATCTGGGGAGTCAGGGCTGTGATTGCCTGGTCAAAAGGCCTGTTCTCGGACAGTTGTTGGCAGTGCGCATGGAAAGACTTGGCATTTTGCTGTGTGTATTTCTGTCATCTCTGTAGGTAATAAGTTTTCTGAGGGACTAGCAATCACCAACCCACGTGACTTATTGCTCATAAATGTGCAATTAGGTTAGGTGCATCCATCTAACCAAGAGATTATTAGGGCCATTTTGGAGGCACCATGCACAACTTGGATGCAAAACAAAGGTAGCAGATAATGGAAATTTGTGAACAGATTATTTCTGGACTTAGGAGTTTTTTTTATGGAATTTAGTACAAGGGAGTAGGGAGAGGTGGTCTGGCATGGCGATGCTCCTATTTGTGCCGCCTGAGGAAATGCTTGTGATGAAGAAAGCAGGTTCCTAAAGAGAATAGATTTTTGTTTCTTGTTTAGTAATTTCATATACCACTGATACCATCCTGCTTATTAATAATTTTCAACATTAATAATCCTGTGGGTTCTTGCTACTTATTCAGAGAATAATTCTGAATCCTGGCTCAAGTAGACCAGACAACATGGTATGTTTTAAGCCTTTTATTACCAGGCAGAGAGCAGGCTAGGAGCGAGCCACATGGAGCAAGCGAATGGTTATGAGCAGCCACAGGGAGCTTAGCGTGGCAGCAAAGCAAAGGCAGAGAGCAGGCCATGAGCCATGTGGAGCAAGCGTGCAGGAATGAAAGCAGAGAGCGGGCAGCCTGAAGGCCATGTGCCCCAGGGCCACAAGGGATGGGCCTACCATGCTCCCAGACTTCTGTTGATTCCCAAAGGGGGAGTGGTTATGTAGTCTGATTGGCAGGTGGGCCTACAGGTGGGATCAGGTAGAGGCATGAGATCACACGGCACACAAATCTAACTGATTTTATCCTATCTGCCCGCCTATATCACCACAGCATATAGCTCTACTGTAAGAGGATCAATAGGGCCTAGAACCCTGCACCCATGTGGGATGCCGGCACCGCAGGTGGAGTATTTATCTAGTGCACCATGGTGCCAGCCGCAATGATTTTTGAGTTATATAGAGAATTGTCTGATAACATTGCAGAGATCAGACTGAGGAACAACAACAAAACAAAATCATAATGAGGTAAAAAAAATTTGGGGGAAAAGATGAAAGAGTTTATAAGAAGAGAGAAAAGAGAAAACAGTCAGTAACCATTTATAAACACATGGAAAATGAAGGGCTCCCTAGTCCCTGAAAGTGACAGAGAAATTGGACAGGATTCTGCCTTCAAGAAATTTACACATTAGCAGGGCAGAGAATACACAGCATATATGATCCTTTTTTCTTCAAAGATTTATTTATTTATTTGAAAGTCAGAGTTTCAGAGAGAGAGAGAGACAGAAAAAGAGAACTTCCATTCTCTGCTTCACTCCCCAAAAGGCCACAACATCCAAGGCTGGGTCAGGCTGAAGGCAAGAGATTCATCTGTGTCTCCCACACTAGTGGCAGGGGCCTGAACATGTGGACCATCCTCCGCTATTTTCCCAGACCTTTAACAGAGAGCTGAATCAGAAGAGCAGCTTCAGGGACATGAACCCACACCCATATGAGATGCTGGCATTGCAGGTGGTGGCTTTACCCACCATGCTACATGCCGGCTCCCCGTGATTCTGACCTAAGATCGTAAGGGCTCTGAGGGGTAAGCACTTGTGATTGTGACTAAGGAATCATAATCTGTTGGACCAGTAAAAAAAAAAGAAAACCATTTCTAAGTCAGAAAACCAGGCATGTCATCATCAAGATCTTGATATGACCTTGCAGACTTAACTATTTCAAGTTTGTAAAATGTAAAGTTGAGCTGGTTGATACATTGCTTACAAGTAACATAGGCAACTGAAGTTGGTATAAATGAGATTGTGTATGAGGATGCCAAAGTATCTCAAGGAACCCAAGCATAGCTGCTGCTTTGGAGCGGCTGCAAACAGGAATGTGAAAACGAGTAGACTGTTCTCTCTGACTTTGTACCTGTTTTATTTATTCATATTCTCTGTTTCTCTCTCTTTTTACTCAAGCTTCTACAAGTAAGCATTAAGATTGATTTTCTGTGATTATCTGGACACATAAAGTCTGAATTTTTGGATTCAGTTACATGTAGAGTCCAGACCAGGACTAGAGTACCAGAGAGGCACCTAAGATGCAAAATGTAAGACTTTGGTGGTTTGCC